TAAATTGAGTGGAAAAGCAATATATACCACTCCATCTACCATTCACCTAACCATATCTTGTCTGCTAAGGTTATCTCCAGCAAAACTGCCTGCCTGTTTATTTCAACAGACGTATTATAATTTTTAACAATCAGTAAATTATTTAATGATGAGGAGCAAAGATGTGTAACAAGGCTTTCTGTAGTAGTTATTGGATCAGCCAGCTGGCTGTAATGTAAGTATATAGCTTGTATTGATTGTCACTGAGGACTCTGGTCTCTCACTTGTTGTATCACAGTTGTATCTATATGACAAGTAGATACAACTGTGCAACAAAAACATTAATTTTAATGGTATGTTTTTAATGGCAATCTAATCTTAAGGCTTTTATAAATTTGAGCTTTCATTTTTTTTGTGTGTTGTCTTTTTCAAGGGGCTGGAATTCCTTCCCAAATCTGATGAAATGTAGCCATTAGTGCTAAACCTTTTGATCTAAAGCCAACTTTGACAAGGCTCTGCAAGGGCCACTAGCACATATGTTCCGTTACATTTTGGGGGGATTTATGTGAGATTTCCACCAGTGGGTGGAGAAATAATCTTCAAAGCTCAAGGGTTTTTCTTGTGGCTCATACCATACTACAGTATGTTTTCTCTCTGCTGTGTATTTGCATCTCCTTATGAACAAATAAACCACCACAGGAACAGACTGAAGTCTTTGCTTAATCAGTGTAACCAAGATGTTCCGCTGTGCTGTTTAACCCTTTGAACACAAGCTGTTTTCATTTGGTTCTTGCTCTTTTATTTACAGGTTTGTGGCATTGTCACAAGCTGTGCCTATACGTTAGGCTCATGATGCTTGCCAGCATCTTACATTGATGGATAGATACTATGTTGTAGGCTAAATTGAGTTTAGTTAGGCAAGTTTTATCCTGTATTAGATGATTGCAGTACCTGTTGACACAAGTTTTTTTTTTTTGCTGGATATCTTGATGGTTATTCAGTTTTTAACACCGGAGAGCATGAATAAGTTCCTCCAATTGCAGCTGTTTTGCTTGAAAAGGTTAAAAATTTGCCCCACAAATTTGTGCAGGCCTACTGGATCGTAATGAGCAGACAAAATAAATGAAAATTGAAGATGGTCTCAGCTGTTCAGGACGGTCTGAGTGTGTGCTTATGTGAGCGAAGCCGGGAGAATCAGGTGGTTTACTCGTCCAGTCAGCTCACTCCTCTCCTTTGACCTTGCCTTGTCTCTCCATCCTCTTTTTCCCTCACTCGCATGCGCTCTCTCTCTGAGGAAGTACATCTATAAATAACACAGCTCTCAGCGCCACACCCTTCCCTCGATGTGTGTGCATATATGCGTGTACGTGTGCATGCACAAGGGTGATTTGTTTGCTGTACACACAAAGAAGGCAGACATCCATGCAGACACCTTGTGTGCAAATACAGCACTTTCTGAACACACACAGAAGCGTATGTGCGTTGCCTTCTGGACTTTTTGTGTGGATCTGTGTATGGGGGTTCAGTGGTATGACTCATCACAGCAGCAGGTGTCTGTTCCACTCCGCCCTTCTTCTTCGGTTTCGTTTTGCATCCCAATATTTTACTCCACTGCTCTGCTTCCTGTCTTTCCTTTATCCCGGTCTGAAAGGAGCATCTCAGCTCCTCACTGACACACACAGCAGGTTACTTCAGTGACGGTGTGCATAAGTAAATTACCACATTATTTACAAAAACAAAACACTAACAGTGTTTTATGTTACTTTTATTAAGTAAACCTAAAATGATGGACGACATTGCAGTCTATTAATGTAATCTTCAGGTGACTACAATTTGTGCAGTGTCGTAAGCATAGATAGGGCTGATGAACTTGGTTAGGCCAAGTTTGAATGTGAACTCTCCAGTGATAATCTGTTGTGAATCGGGCCCAAAACAATGGTGGTTGTTGCCATTTGTTCCCATACTTTGTCTCCATTGGCCCATGGTAACGGCACATCATACAAACAAGTCTGCTGCCACAACTACTTCTTTGTTGCAATCCCAAACAATTTGTTTTATATTGTATTTTCCTTCACTGTTTTTTTTTTTTTTTTTTTTTTGGTTTTTTTGGTTTGTTTGTTTTTGTTTTCAGCAAATTAACAGTGTAATTTCATGCTTCATTCTTATCGGTTAGCCAGTAGACACAGCTCATAGCAGCAGTCCCATTGTGAGATTTGTGGCACTGTTGGTCTTATCACAGGCTGTCGTTGGTGGAGCCCTGACCAAATACATCACCACAGTTCTTTCATGGTGGTTTTATTTGCTTTGGGGGGAAAAAAAAGCAAGTAGCCTCATCGACAGAGCACATCTTGCCTACTTAACTGTAAAAGATGGGTGTTTTTTGTTTTGTTACATTTTGTAACATTTTTATACAAAACATACATTTTGTATAAAATATATTCCACATTATGGGGACAACAAAACCATTGTGGGTACCTGAAATGGAAATAAAAAATGAACAAAGTGATAAATGAAAACAGAATTGATATTGTTGGCTTAAAAATTACTCAAATAACTCAGAAAAAAACCCCTAGATAAAATATTGGAAGTGCCTGAAGTTCTAGTCTTTGTTACTTCCAGATGGATGTGAGGCTTTCCGATTCATATTTGACTTTTAATGTCTCTTCTGAATATCCTGAATGTTTCCCCTGATGAATGGCCTCCATATTGTAATAATTGAAGATACTAACTTTCATAACTAATAAAACACATTTCAAACAAAATAAACTAAAAACCACTTTTGCAACTAACTGAGCTAATACCGAAGTGAAAACAAAAACTAAAAAAACAAATACAAAACTATTAATAACTGCCCTCGGTTTCAGTGTCAGATCTAATTATTGCTCACTTGAGGCTTCAAAATGCCAAAGCCTAGATTACACTCTGTTGTGGAAGTGGACAGCCCGAGGCCTGATGGCCATGTATTCCTTCCTGTTATTCTTTATTTTGGATTTTTTTGTTTTTTGTTTTTTTGGAGTCGGCGTACTTGGTGCGTTGCAACTTCCTCTTGCTAACCAGAGAATGACGTAACCGTGGCTGCGTGAATCTTTTATGTTAGATTTATGCTGTAATAGGCGGCTTAGGTCAAGTTCCTTAAAGAGATGAGTTGATAACAGAGTGTCTTGTTTGCAGCCAGCGGGAGCAGGCAGGGATATAGTGTAGATTCTTTTCTTGCTTCTATCTTACAAGATTTGTCTGACTCATTTATTCCTTTTTAGGAACTTGATGGGTTTTGTTCATATAAACACAGTTGTAGCGATGTCATAATGCAGCCAAGTATATGCTTGCACCACAGGCATACTGGAATAGTAGAGTACACTATATTCTGAAGTCACATTTTCAGGTAAACATTTGTTTCAAGCAAAAGTTGCTTTAGCCCTTTTATAAAGTAAATGTTGATATATATTTTTTGCTAATTAAACTGGACAGAAAATCAGATTTTTAGAAGAGTGTTGAAACGATGAAAGACGATGGATTGAGCATGAAGAGCTGCAGAGAGGTGAGGGTGCGATTAAGAAGTGGGGCCGTGACGAAGCTAGGAGGAAGAGAGAGAAGGCAGCCAAGTGGAGAAGTGTGTTTGTGTGCGTGCTTGTGTGTGTGGCCAGATGGCTCCAGCGTGTGGCGACCAGCCAGAGGAACAGGTGCAGGTCACATGACCAGCCGTTACCACGGAGATGGTGATTGCTCTTGGCGTGAGGATGAAAGGAGAAGGGCCCCAGGGACAGAGAGGGGGTGAGAGATGTAGAGGGAGGGTGAGTGAGCGAGCAGGAGGGAAGGAGGGAGAGAGGCACCAAGCAGGAAAGGGGACGAGCGACACAGGCACAGAGCAGAGAAAGGAGATCAGCCATACACTACAGGGAGCAACACAAATGGTTATGTTCTGTTTCATAGTAGGTTAGTTAGTGGAACAAATTGCTGTTGCCTGATGGCCTGACATAACTTTTACTCTGAAATAAATCAACATGTTGTAAAGTGGAGTGTAAAGCTTGGTTTAGATAGCCAGTTTGATTGTGGATCCAGTTCCATGTTTGCAAATTAGCTGGATTTGCTAATCCCCGCTGCCAGCTAATCACTTATGAAACCTTTTAACAGTACTTTTTTTGACTTTTATCAACATGCAGTGTCCTTAGCCTTCAAATTTTTGCCAGCATTGACGTTTTATTTAAAATCACAGATTCCATCTGTAGCCAGTTATTTCAAAAGTAACTTTTATGTAACAACATATTTTAAAAAAACAACAACTATCCACTGCAAAGTTCTCTTTGCAGGCAGGTGTCAGCCACTTTGTCATAGACTACCATTGTACATTTCCATTGCTGCAGATTGTAACTTGTGGGTCAAGTCTTCCAGTAACTGTTAATTGAAGCTTTATGCAGTATTTCTGATTGTTTGCTCTATATAAGCCATGCAGTGTCTCAAAGGTGAGGTCTCAAGTGAGGTGATGAAAGCAATCTAAGAAGATAACGTTGTTCA